AATCCTTTAGGTGAGTGTGTGTGTATATATATATATATATATATATAATTATTTATTTATTTATTAGATTTATTGAGCAAGGACAGCACAAAAGACAATGTTACATGTGAAAAAAAATGTGTTTTGTACGGAGGTTTTCTAGCCAAAGGCTAATTTGCAAACCTAGTCCTTGGTTGGACTTTTAAGAACAGACAATAACAGCAATATATATATTGAGGTCATCATTGTTGTTGTGAAAAATATTCATGAAATTCCTGTTCTGTGATGATAATTAAAAAAGAGTGAAGCTTTTTGGGGAGTTACCCAGAATGCTCCCAGCAAAGAAATTTTTATTTGGTAGTTTTTTTTTATTTAGTTTGTTTTTGGCCAATTTTCAACTCCTTTTTTGTTTTATAAATTTTGTAGTATTTATTGCAAAGATTTCAGATATTGCAATGTATTTTTTTTTCCAATACAGTTCAGCCTTAGTTTAAGGGGAGGGGTGGGGATCGGGGCTGATTTAGTGGCATCAATCTGCCTTCATCTATCTGTCACATGGACGTCCTCTTGGCCTGATCCAGCTGCTCGGCTCCCCAACAATAAGGATCCTGTGAGCCGGATCACCCTCAGCGAAACACGCCACATGGCTATAGTGCCCCTGCCAGCTCCCTGCCAGAAACTCCACATTTTTACTTCTTGGAGCTGGGAGGGAGCAGAAATGTGGACTGTCTGAGGGTCCCTGAGGACTGGTTTGGGAAACATTGCAGTAACTGACATTAACTCATAATGCAGTAGGGTCCAGGGTGTGTGGGTTTTGAGTCTCATCATGTACTCTAAATTCAGTCACAGGTGGCCGGGTAATATTGGGGCAAGTGAACTAGCAAGAGACAGAAACAACAGACAAGAATTGTTTCTGAGACAAGAATAACTGGCTGATGTTAAGACAGCTGCAGGATTTCCAAGAAGGGAGACCAGAGCTAACTTAAGATGTTTGCTGCAAAAAGAGGAAGCCATACTATTGATCATGTACTGCAACATGATAGACTGTACTAATGCAGAATATTTTGTTTGTATAAGAAACATATGTTCTTAGTCTGACAGCAGCAGCACCCTGCCTAACCTGCCTGCAAGTCCTGCCTTTTCCTCCTTCAGCCCGTCCTCTCCACAATCTTCTCCTCGGTGTTCTCCCTGTGTTTAGAATCTTGGTCTTCGGACTGTTCTCCCCAGGTTTGGACCCTTTGGATTATGGACTCACAATCCCGATTTTACTCTTTTCTGGTTGTTTTATGGAGAGTGTCCAATAAAACCTTGAGACCCCTCAGTCTGTTACACTGTTACACAACTTGAAGCATTTCCAAGAACTTCAAGAAGTATATTCAGTAAGGGACATTGGTTAGTCGATTAGTAATATAGGTAGAGATATTGAAAAGAGTGGTACCCAAGCATTCTCTGAAGAGTCTCAGAAGAGTCCAGTCATGCTCTCCCAATCTGACTACTGACTTCATAGGTGTCATGGACTCATGGTGTGCATGGGGCATGGTCCGGGGAAGCAGAGGCAGGACTCAAGGAATCGGGGAAACACAGGGTTTAATTCAGAGTGAAGACAAGCAGGACAGAGAGCAGGCAGAAATCACGAAATGACGTTAATGACCAGACTGCCGAAACATACTCTAACATGGACTTAAATACATCAGACTAATTAACAACAATGAAAAACAACTGGTAACATAGGGATTCCACAGGAGGTAGTGAGGGGGGCATGGCACACGGGAGGATTGGATGATTTTGGAAACAAAAGCAAAAAACATTAATGAAGCACGGGGAACAGGACCGACATGCAGAACAGACATAAGGACAGCAACCAGGACACCAACTGACACACCACAGGGAATGCAGACAGACACAGGGGCACTAGAGACAGAAACGATGGAGGAACAACAGCAGGGGGCACACCAACAAAAGGAGGAGGGAAGGGGCCAGGAGGGAACAAAGGCAAAATCGAGGGACGAGGAGAAACCACAGGGGGCAAAGAGGCGAAGCGCAGGGGAAACCAGGGAGCTGGAGGGAACCCTGGCGAGAGGAAGGCGGAAGCCGCAGGGGCCACAGGCAATCGCAAGGCAGGAGCCGGAGGGGACACTGAAGGGGGTGAGGAGGAACACGGAGGGACTGCCGGAGGAGGCGAGGAGGGAGGGATGTCAGCAGGTCCTTTTGTGGCAGGGCTGAAATGCAGTGGAAATGGGTTTTTTGGCATTAAGTTCATTTTCATGGCATTTCGATTTTGCAATTAATTGCAATTCATCTGATCCTTCTTCGTAACATTCTGGAGTATATGCAAATTGCCATCACAAAAACTGAGGCAGCAGTGAAAATCAATATTTGTGTCATTCTCAAAACTTTTGGCCATGGCTGTAGAATCATCAGCAAAAATTAAGGCCGGTAAGTTTTTCTTCACAAACAGATGCCCCATGGCCAATGAATCCACTGAGAAGAATGCAGAGGTTCTCCCTCCACTGTGCACAGCATGCACAGTGTCATGATATGTAAATAATTAATCTATAGTTATCCTGATGCACAGATGTATGATGGGAATGATGGGGCGGAGCTTAGTATAATAAAGATGGCTAACTGAAATTAGCACACAACACTCTCGTGTCTGTTCATCAAGCAATATCAAAACATAGTGTCAGAAGTGCAATAATAGATCTTACAGATGTTGACGAATATTGTGAGTATGGACTCAAGCCACCCACTGAACTGGATTTACTGCAAGGTAACTTGTCGAAAAACTGGAGGAGATTCCGGCAAAGATTTGAGCTGTACCTCGACGCGACTGGGGGAGCGAGCAAGCCTGCCAAGGTACAGTCCTCTCTATATCTTCATGTAGCCGGTGCAGAAGCTGTAGAAGTATATAATACCTTC